GGCGCGATCTTGGCTCACCGCAACCTCCGCCTCCTGGGTTCAGGCAATTCTCCTGCCTCAGCCTCCCAAGTAGCTGGGATTACAGGCATGCACCACCATGCCCAGCTAATGACAAAACATTTTTAAAGGATAGTACATTGTAAGATCACAGAGTATATCACAGTTATCAGTTGTAGACTAGAACATTTATATTTAACCGGTTTGTTTTTAGAGAAATTCCTTAAAAGCTAGAAACTTTTTCTAGAGACAGGGTCTTACTCTTTTGCCCAGTGTGGAGTGCTGTGAAGCCGTATAGCTCATTATACCCTCAACCTCCTGGGCTCAAGCAATCCTTCCGCCTCAGTCTCCCAAGTAGCTGGAACTACAGGCATGTGACACCATGCCCAACTAATTTTTAAATTTTTTGTAGAGACGGGATCTCACTACATTGGCCAGGCCTGTCTCAAACTCCTGGACTCAGTTGACCCTCTCGAAGTGCTGGGATTACAGATGTGGCTCAGCATGTCCAGCCTGAACTTTTAAATTATGAAAAACTTCCCAAACAATTAGAATATAATTGGCAGAAAATGAATTAGAAATAAAATAACCCAGCTCAATGTAACTGATAGAAACCACACAATAAGTTAAAAAAAACTTTAAATCATTCTATGGCTCACAAAACTTCCTATCTTCTAAAAAATCTAAATAAACAAAGGCACATGATAATACATTGTGAAACCTCTACTGGAACACACAAAAAACCTGTTTCTTTCTTGTACCTTTAACCTGCACCAGAAAAAGGAAATTCCAACATATGCAAAACTGGTGAATAAACATGAATGACAGATTTATCCTTTGACAAATTTGTTTTCAACCGCTTAGCTGGAAGCCACAAAGAACTACGGGAAAGTAATAACAGAGAAGGCCAAGCACAAGAAACCCCAAAGGCCACACTTTTGACAAGGCCAGTCTCCAGAAATACAAACTGCCCTGCTCCTCATTTCCTGTGAACCGCAGCTGTCCAGACCCCAGGTCGCGTTACCTCTGGCATGCTTCTCCCGCCCAAGCAATGCCCGCGGCTGGCATTTGGTGAAGGAATTCTGGACCGAATTTGAAAACCCTGAAGTATAATGAAGCCCTTGTTAAGGATGGGGGTAGAATGAGGTAATGGAATTGTTATTCTGCTCCTTTCTGCCAGAGTTCTATATCTAGAGCCACCATGGTAAGCATGACCAGGGAAGAGGCAAGGACAGGCTGTTTTGTTTTGCTATTTTAAAGCAAGCCGTTCTTGGTTTTTGACATCTGAAAAGCCCTGCATTCCTTGCTGTGGACACGACGGGCAGGTGGTGCACGGTGTGGCTGTGAGTCAGTTTATCGGTTGACATCCACCTGATTCACTACTATGCAGAAAAGGGGAACTGCCCTCTTGCCAGAAAGCACTGGGGTGTGTTATCCTGACCAATATGAACCAGACTGGGGCTCCTCTCGCTTCCCCGCAGAAGTGACAGAGCAACGCTTTGCCTTTTTTCAATTGCCCACGGGGTACTTTTTTTTTTAGTCGTTAAAAAAAAAAAAAAAAAAAAAAAAAAAAAACACCCTTATAAGCAGAGGCTACCTACCTACAGAGTCAGAGCCTCACGGTCTGACTTGGCATTCAACCAGGAGGGCAGTTATGTGCAAATACAGTGCAACCTCTCTGATATTGCTAGCTGAACAGCCTGCATGCCTGACTCAGGATCTGAGCTAGCAGTGGTAAGTTTACACTGCTGTCCAACAACCAACCTCAGATGGTAGGCAAACCATCCACTTGGTAACCAAGCTAGAGATAGGCACATGTTGTTCTTGAATTCCATTTTTCCCTCCGCTCCCATTTCCCTTTTTTGAGAGAGAGTCTTACTCTGTCCGCCAGGCTGGAATGCAGTGGCCTGATCACAGCTCACTGCACCCTCAAACTTCTGGCCTTAGGTGATCCTCCTGCCTCAGCCTCTGGGATTACAAGTATGAGCCACCACACCTCGCCTTAAAGCTTTTGATATACCAGTCTCTTCCACTGCTAGCACTTGCCTAACTGAAAGCTGCGTGACACTTTCAAGGAGGTCTGTGGAGAGCTGCGGGTTCCTAAACAGCCTTTCTGTTTAGCCAGGCCCGAGGCACTGGGGTAGCTGGTGGAAGCCCATGGACCACACAGCTAGGTTCTACACTAGGAGCCTGGTTAAGTCTGACTTGATTAAATTTAATGGAGCCAGAGGTGAGATCTGCTGTCTGAGGAGACGCTGTGAATAGTGTATATTTCAAGCACCCCTGTCCCCTGCCCAGGACTTTTCTGGTTTTAATTTACTTGCTTCCAAAAAGGATCAGCAAAGATATCCAGTGATAGGAAGCACAAAACCTCTTCAAAGGGAAATTTGATTTAGCCAGTTTAAAATATGTAGACGTCAGCCGGGTGCGGTGGCTCGTCTGTGACCCAGCAGTTTGGAAGGCCGCGGTTGGTGGATTGCTTGAGCTCAAGTGTTCAAGATCAGCCTGGACAACACGGCAAGACCCCATCTCTCCTGAAAATACAAAAACTAGCTGGGCATGGTGGCGCGTGCCTGTAGTCCCAGATACTTGGGATGCTGTATCTGGGAGGATCATCTAAGCTTGGGAGGTCGAGGCTGCAGTGAGCCATGATCTTGCTATTGCACTCCAGCCTGAGTGACAGAGTGAGACCCTGCCCCTCTCTCTTTCTCTCCCTCTCTCCCTCTTCATACACACACACACACACACACACACACACACACACACACACACACACACATATATATATATATATATATATATATATAGTGACCCAGCATTTCATGTCCAGAAATCAATTGCTCTGAGAGCAGACTGGGTGAGTCAACTCTAGTATATTCAGTGGCATATGAGACATACTGAGAAGAGTGAGCTATACGCAAGTTCAAGCTTTCGAACACCCAAATCACCGAGAATCACACTGTCGCTCAGGGAAGAGAGCGTGACACCTCTTGGTTGGAGATTTGAGAAGGGAATACACGTGGTCGATTCAGCGTATTTATTTGTAAGCCATAAGCAAACATGTGATTCTTAACTGTGATTCTTTTGCTTGGGAACAAAGCCAGGGGAAGCCACTGTAGGTTTGGTGCGAGGAGGCCCCACAGGCGGTTGCTCACCTCGGAAGATGGTCTGCAAAGAGGTGAAAGCCAGGGCACGTTCACACATTGGAAGGAAAGACATGTGTCTTTTCTGGGGCTGCCAGCCAATGCAGACCCCAAGCTGAGACCCTCTGAAAGGCTGGTTTGTATGGGAAAGACTGCTGGAACACGGGGATGGCAATGTGTGCTATAAGCCCCGTCTTCTCGGCTGGCTTCCGGGCGGGATCAGATGTGGTGGCGGTTGTAGAGATAGGACGGGTACAGGCCATCATAGTGCCACTGGCGCCACTGCTCCACAGCCTCCCGGCTCCTCTCTTCCTGCTCTGAAGAGGAAAGGCAAAGCCACCTGTTCCGACAGGGGGACTCTGACCTGCCACAGCCCAGCAGCCGTCAGCCCAACCCCTGCCCTGTGGTGACCTGCACTGGGAGTGCTTGTGACTCCTGGTGAGAGAAGGCCAGGGCTAGTGAGGACCCAGAGTTGACGGGCCTTGCTTATAGGTTAGGGCCAGATGGGCAAAGGTCACAGGCAGGTGTAGACCAGGGCTGGGCATCTCAGGCTCTTCTGCCTGCACAGCTAGTGTAGGCAGACAGAGGCATATGCAGCCCTGTTTCAAAGAGACAGCAACCAAGACACAAGATGAAAAAGTAACAATGTAGTAGCAGGAATGGACTCACGCAAGAAAAAAAAAGAGAAGGAACGACAAACCATGCCTTGAAAACATGAAGGAAATCAGTCGACTTGGAGTTTCCTTACTGTTCAGAATTAATTTTCTTTCTTTTCCTTCTTTCTTGTTTCATTTTGTTTTGAGACAGGGTCTCAGTCTGTCACCCAGGCTGGAGTGCAGTGGCATGATCATGGCCCACTGCAGCCTCCACTTCCCAGGACTCAGGCGATCCTCCCACTTCAGCCTCCTGTGCCACCACGCCAGGTATATTTTTAAATTTTTTTGTAGAGATGGGATTTCACTGTTGTCCAGGTCAGTCTCCAACTCCTGGTCTCAAGCGATCCTCCTGCCTCAGCCTCCCATAGTGCTGGGATTGGCCAGATGCAGTGGCTCATGCCTGTAATCCCAGCACTTTGACTTTGGGAGGCTGAGGCCAGCAGATCACCTGAGTCAGGAGTTCAAGACTAACCTGGTCAACATGGTGAAACCCTGTCTTTACTAAAAAAACACAAAAATTAACCAGGCGTGGTGACATGAACCTGTAATCCCAGCTACTTGGGAGGCTCAAGCATGAGAATCACTTGAACCTAGGGGGTGGAGGCTGCAGTGAGCCAAGATTGTGCCACTGCACTCCAGCCTGGGCAACAGAGTGAGATCCTGTCTCAAAAAAAAAAGAATATGCCCAAAAGAATTGAAAACAGGGACACAGATACTTGTACGTGAATGTTTGTAGCAATACTACTCACCATAGCCAAGAGGTGAAAACAACCCCAGTGCCCATCAACAAAGAAATAACAAAATGTGGCATGTGTGTGTGTAAAATTTAGCCACAAAAAGTAATGAAGTTCTGGCACATGCTACAACATGGATAAATCTTAAAAATATTATGCTAAGTGGGCCGGGTATGGTGGTGCACACCTATAATCCTAGCACCTGGCCAACATGGTGAAACCCTGTCCCTACTAAAAATACAAAAATTGGCTGGGCGTGGTGGTATGCACCTGTAATCCCAGCTGCTGGCAAGGCTGAGGCAGAAGAATCACTTGAACCCGGGAGATGGAGGTTGCAGTGAGCCGAGATCTTGCCACTGCACTCTAGCCTGGGTGACAGAGCAAGACTCCGTCTCAAAAAATATATATGCTGCCGGGCGCGGTGGCTCAAGCCTGTAATCCCAGCACTTTGGGAGGCCGAGGCGGGTGGATCACGAGGTCAAGAGATCGAGACCATCCTGGTCAACATGGTG